CACCTTGCTGTCGTGGATGTCAAGGATAATGTGGTAAGTACCAGGGCAGCTTTCATAACGATTGAGAGATGCATGCCTCGGCGCGCTTGATGCGGAAAGACGACCATGTGGACGAGTAGTTGATGCATTTGCTATGAGCGAGGGCAAGGCAATCACAGACCGTTGTACTGAGACGTCACAGCGGCGCCGAAACACCGAAGCTCCACCACTACTGTGATGTAGGTATTATTCTCAAAACTTGTGGCCTCATGACCGTTGCAACCTTATTCCTAAACATTTTTTATTCCTGATACATATTTGTCAAAAGAGGAAACCATGTCCATTTGTTTTGGGGGTTGGGTGTTGTGGGTTTTCTATGCGGTGGGTCATACTATGGGGTTGAGCATGCAATTATCTACGGGGTAGCGCGTGGTTCGATGGTATGGCTTTTATCACGTGGGTCTTGGGTTGGGTTCTTCCTATGGGTATTCTCCTAAACCCTGTAAGCCCTAAACCATGACCCTAAACCCTAAAAACCCTAAACCCTGGTTGAGGTTGAGGTATAGGTTGTTATTGCTTGGGTCTTCAGGTGACATACGGGGGTGTGCATGGTTAGAAAATGGAAATGGTATATGCTAACTTAATGTAGGGCCTTCAGAATCAGAATAGGGTTTAAGGCTATGTTATACTATACATAATCACAATAAGGAAACCCCCAAAATAATATGGCTAATTATCACGGCCCCTAGAGTAACCCAGGTATATAGCCCCTATGAGTTTGGGGGTATATTATAATAATAAGGAACCCCCCCCAAAATACTATAGCTAATTGTTCAGGCCCCCAAAGTAGCCCAGAAAGCCTAAACCCTAAACCCTAAACCCCAAACCCTAAACCCTAAACCCTAAACCCTAAACCCTAAACCCTAAACCCTAAACCCTGAACCCTAAAGCTGGAGGCCTGTCTTCTGGCCCCGAAGAGGATTCTTCGGCCGCCCTGGAAGCAGCCAGCGGTTGGCCGTAGGCGGCTCCTTGCCGGCAACAAGCTTAGGGAGTTTAGGGGTTCAGGAGTGTAGGGGATTAGGGTTTAGGGTTTAGGGGTTCAGGAGTGTAGGGGATTAGGGTTTAGGGTTTAGGGTTCAGGAGTGTAGGGGAGGGATTTTGGGTGCAAAGTTTAAAGTTTAGGGCTTAGGGTTTCAGGTTTAGGGTAACTCGGGTCTCCCCGCTGTACGGGGCACACACGTGAGGGTTCAGGGTTGAGGGCTTAGGTCGCGTCTGGGGCGCCTGGATCTGTACTTGTAATTCCAAACTCCAACCTCCAAGCCCTAAACCCTAAACCCTAAACCCCTAAAACCCTAAAACCCTGAGCCCTAAACCCTAAACCCTGTATCATGACCTCAAGCCTGCAACTGCCTAAAGCTTGCTCAAAAACCCTGGAGCCGTTGGGCAACCTCTGCCCCCAAGCTCGCCGATTTCTGACTCCCTAAACCGTAAACCCTAGGCCCCAAAGGCCCTAAACCCTAAACCCGCCCTAAACCCTAAACCCTAAACCCTAAACCCTAAACCCTAAACCCTAAACCCTAAACCCCTAAACCCCTAAACCTGCAACCCTCAGGCCCTAAACCCTAGACCCCTAAACCCTAGACCCTAAGGGCCCTAAACCCGAAGTTCGCTTCAGATTACCACCAGCCCTCCAAGCCGAGCACCCGACCATCCCGAACCCTCAGGCTTAGGGTTTATAAAGTTCTCTTCTCTGGCCTATAGTTTAAGGCTTCGGGCTTAGGGCCTAGAAAATTATTTTTACCTATAGTTTAGGGCTTAGAGCTTAGGGCCTAGGGTTTATACAACTCTTAATTTTTGTTGACCTATAGTTTAGGGCTTAGGGCTTCGGGCTTGGGGTTTATAGAGTTCTTTTCTCTTGTAGTTTAAGGCTTAGGGCTTGGGGCTTAGGGTTAAGGGTTTAGGGTATACGAGAACGGACTGTCGACAGCCCGCTTTCCCGGACCGAGCAAATGGGATCTAGGGCTTTGAGGCTAAGGGGTTTAGGATTTCAAACGGGCACATGCTGAACTTCACGACATCCGTTTTGGTCATCACCTTGGACTTCTCATCGAGCCCCGGAATCGAGCTCTCTTATCGTATGAATTTGCGTCATCACCGGCCTGAACTGCACCGTCGGAATCGAAAACTCACAGTAGTCGACATGTGCCATCAGTTCGTTCAACTTTTTCTTGGTGCCAGTGGTTTTGACACGGACGGACTTTATCAATCAATAAAGCGTCATCCTAAACGTGATGAGCCAAGGTCACCAGAAGCCCTGTACATCATCGCCAGAAATGCCTGGGCAAAGCTAAACAATTCCAAGCATGCAGCAGATGTCCACCAAGCCTCCTAGACCCTGCAAATACACCCTATCAATCATTCCTTCAAAACCCGGCATTAAGGACCACGCGGGCTCTATTCAAGGGTACTTGGTGTTCCGGCCGTTGCTCGTTGGTTCCTAAACCCTGAACACCAAAACCCTAAAACCCGAAAGCCTCAAAACCCTACAAGTACAACCCTAAAGCTCAAATGCCCTAATTACGACGCCCTGCGGCCCTAAAGCACTAAAACCAAAAAGCCTGATTCCACGCAGCCCTAGAGCTCAAAAGCCCTCAACCCTAAACACTAAACTAAGCCCTGAACCCTGGATGGAACCCTCTGGGCTTGCGGCAAGGCTAGAGCACTTCGTCGAGAAGTGGTAGCGGGACGGACTGGC